ATATATATATATATATATATATATATATATATATATATATATAAATTATATTATTATATTAATTATCTATATTTTTACAATTTCTTTGTTGATAATATCAACCATCGTGTATATAAGGAGTTTTATTTGTCTACATTAGACATCAGCAGTAGACAAATATCATACTATCATGAAAATAAACTTGAAACTGCTGTTCTTGCCCCAACAAAATGGGGAAAACATTGGAAAAAAAAGTTCTTGAAATGACTAAACAGAGTATAGAAAACCATATCAACTTGTTTCCACGAGTTGAGTCACATTATTGTTGAAGCATTTCCTGCAAACAATACTTTGATGGGTCATTAAATTTGAAGAAACTTTATAATTTGTATTTAACATATTGCACTCAATATGAAATTTCACCAGCAAAGGCATGTATGTACCGCAATGTTTTTAATACAAAATTTAATATTGAATTTCAAAAGCACAAAAAGGATCTGTGTGATACATGCTACAAATTTCAAATTATTGAAGATGCAAATGAAAAGCAAATCCAAAAGTATAACAAGCATATTGCATCAAAGAATGAAACAAAAATCAAGAGAGTTATGAATCGAAAGTTGAACTCCCCTTCCACAACCATAGTTTGTATTGATCTACAAAATGTCTCGAGCTTGCCAAAAATTAATGTGGGAAACTTCTTTTATAAAAGAAAGCTCAGCTGTTATAACTTAACAGGTTACTCTTCACTGAACAAAATAGCATATTGTATATTATGGTATGAAGGTATAACAGGTCGTTCTGGTAATGACATTGCCAGTGCTGTGATATGTATGCTAAATAAAGTTTACAAGGATCTTCCTAATATTAATAAATTTATACTTTGGTTTGATTCTTGCGTTCCACAGAATAGAAACAGTCATATGTCAGCTGCATTGCGTGAGTTTCTTATTGATCATCCAAATATTGAAATCATTGAGCAAAAGTATTGTGAGCCAGGGCACAGCTCTATTCAGGAATGTGATAATATACATAGTCAGGTTGTGAAATCATTACATTCAGCTGAAATATTTAGTTCTCTTGCGTTGGTGAAAGCAATATTAACCAACGTAAACCATTTTTTGTATACCAAATGCAAAAAAACGATATTAAAAATTTTTCAAAAATTGCTAGTCTTTTGAACTACAAAAATGTTCCATACTTTAATGTTAAAACGCTTGCATGTAGGTTTAATGCTCCTGGTCATGTGTATTTCAAGACTCGTTTTACAGATATTTATAAAGAGGCACGGCTGTCTATGCCAAAAAATACTCGATCATCAGGAAGTAATCTTGAAGAATCATCAATTCCATTGGCATCTTGTTTTCGACAAAATATTGAAATTTCTAGTGAGAAGATAAAAGACATTGTTTCTATGTATCCTTACATGCCAGCTGTAGATGTTTGTTTCTATAAAGCATTATTTCAGTAGTTGTTTTTTCAACTCTTTATCCGGATATACTTTATTTGTTTTATGCACTATTCAGTTTTATCTTGTATAAGGTTCATTTAAACTGTTCTTAACTTGTTATTTGTATTTAAGACATTTATTTTTTATTTTCAATAAATCTTTTTAGATAAAAGTAATTTTATTATAAATAATATAGCTTTGGTTAAAATCAGTTTGTTAAAATTGAAGCTGCCCATCCTACCAGAAGCAATATATCTAGAAAACTTATTAAATGACCATATCCATTTAAATTTGCCAACTAAGTGTTTTAGGGTCTATATTTGCTTTTAAATCCCTAAATTAAAAGTAATTTCTTGTAATCCATCAACTCCTCGCATAATGTTCAAGTTGTATTTACTAAAAAATGGAGATAGCACAAAATAATATTAACGTGAAATTAAAATTTAATAAATTTAAGTTATTTTGTTTTCTAAACAGGGTGGGACCATAAAAGCGATTTGAGCAAAAAAAAAATCTTTTCACGACAAATAATTATAATGAGCATATAGTCAAGTATTGAAAAACGTTTGCATTATTAAAAAATATATTGCCACTTTTGCTGGATTGCAATGTAAAACTTCAACTTGATTTATCTCATTTTAAACAAACAGAGAGTTAGAACAAAATAATTCTAACCTGACGATATGTCGAACTTTATATACAATTCCAATACTTTTAGCAACTTTTAAGTAGATATTATCGATTTGTTGTATCCAGGAGAAGTTTTTGTCTACAAGAACTCAGAGAAGTCTTGTAACTGTTTTCCTTTTTAGTATTGTATTATCAATGAAGAGGTCGGGCATTGTATTTGGTAAACATTTTTTTCTGGATATTGGGTAAAAAAGTGTCCATTTTGTTTTATAAATATTGATAAAACAAAATGTTCATTTTGTTTTATCAATATTGATAAAACAAAATAAACAATTATTTAATTCTTGTGTCATTTTATCAAAAAGTGTATTTATGTTTTCATAAATGGGATTTATCTTTGGGATTTATCTTTAATTCCATAGAGTTTTTAATTTTTTAATAAAATGTGGTGATCGACTGTATTAAAAGCTTAAGACAAATAGATAAATACTCCTATGGTATAATGAGAATTTTTTAAAAAATCAGAAATGCTGCGAGTTAGTTGGAGTATGGCGTGTTCAGTAGAATAGTTTCTCTGTAAGCCAAATTGATTATTACATTAAAGTTTAGTATCAACAAAATAATTGTAGACTCTGTTATACACTATTCTTTCTAGTATTTTGGAGAAAACTTGAAGAACTGAAAAAGGACGATAATTTAAAATGTTACAATGGTCAGCTGGTTTATAAATAGTTGTAATTTTTTCTACTTTTAGAGAGTCTGGAAAGGATCCTTGAGCAATAGAGGCTTTTTGAATTTTAAAGAGTATATCTTTCAAAACGTCAAAGGAGTCTATTATAACATTTCCATTAATGCAATCAACCACAATTGCCTTATTCTGTTTTAATGATTTAAATGCCGCTTAAAATTCGCTGTATGTTAGGTTTGAAAAATTTTAAGTTAAGTTGATTTTATAACTTATAAATTGATTTTTCATTAAGATAAGGAATTTTATTTGATAAGCTTGCTCCGATTGAAGAAAAAAAATATTAAATTCAAAAGCAATTTTATTAGGGTCATTTAATAATTTGTTTTTAACTTTTATTGCATTTGGTAATATTGCACTTTTTTTTTTCCCGTGATCTCTTTCATTAGTTGCCAAATACGCTTTGAATTATGTTTATGCTTTGCAAGCAAGTCGGAGTAGTAATTTCTTTTTGCATTTTTGCGGAATTTTTCGAAATTATTTTTATAAATTAAGAAGTTATTTTTATGATTAACTGATTTATATTTTAGATATTAAATTAACATTTTTTTTTATACTTTCGATGATTTTAATTACTTTATTTATGCAAGGACATGATACATCCTTGGCGTTAAGGATTATTTCACGAATAGGGAAGTTTGTGTCATAAATTGACTTAAATGTTTTAAAAAAAGAACCGTAGATCAGGTTTATATCATCATTGAAGGTAATATTGCTCCAGTTTTGATTCGAAATTTGTTCCTTAAAAGATTTCAAATTATTGTTACTGTATACACGCTTTTATATAAATGTTTTTTTATAGTCGTTTTACTCAGGAGATTTAATTTATAGTTTGCATTTATACAAAAAAAAGTAGGAAAGTGATCTGAGATATCTGTTTTAACAATACCTTTTCTAAGCAGCGTGTTAAAAATATCATTATTTAAAATGTTATCTATTAAAGAAGATGAATGATTTGTTATTCTTGTAGGTTTATTTATTATAGGTGTTGTTACCGTTTCAAATAAGTCGTTGTCTATATAAAATCTAAATAAAATTTTTTTTATGTTTTGGTTTTTATTATACTCAAAACAGTCCAAATTGAAGTCCCCTATTATGTAATATTTTTTTCTTTCTTGATTACTTTTTTCTAGCATAGGTTCTATTCTTGGTTCTGTTTTGTTTCTTATCTACATTTTTGATCTTCCTAACAACATTACATTTAAAGTAGTTATTTTTGTTGATGACTCTACTTTATAGTCCTGTCTTGAAAAAAAGTCTTCTTTTTTTGATTGCTTAGAACAGGCAACCAATCTTGAATCTGATCTCACTTCTGTAACAGATTGAGGCTCGCAGTGGCTTGTAAATTTTAACTCAAACAAAACTCAGTTATTTACTGTAAACAATTATCGCAGTACCGTTGACATTCTTATTTTAATGAATGGCAACCCTCTCACTTAATTTCTCTTCTTTACGGATTCTTGGATTATCGTTTTTCTACTACTGATCTTTCATGGAAACCATATATACAATTGATTGCTAAATTAGCATCTGCTAAGGTTGCTTCTCTTTATTGTGCTCGCTATTTTCCATCTTCGGATTCCATTCTCTACCTCTACAAATCTCTTATTTGTCCTTGTATGTAATGTGGTTCTTCTAATGATACTCTTTCTCTTCTAAATAAGGTCCAAAAACGCATTGTAAACGTAGTTGGACCCGTTCTATCTGCTAAGTTTGAGCCTCTTTCGTCGTAAAGTTGCACCTCTTTCTCTTTTTTACAAATACTATCATGGTCACTGAATCGTTATTTAGCAAAGTTTCATTCTTTTACTGTATTTGTCCCTGCATGCTCTAAAAACTTTTATGTGTCTAGTTTTTTTCCACGCACTTTAAATATTTGGAACTCTCTCTCTCATCTTCTTGTTTTGCTGACTCGTACAACCTTTAACTTTTTTAGTTTTCTATTAACCGTTTCCTAGTTCTATAACTCTATTATTTTTTTCTAGTAACTCCTAACTTAATAGTGGTTGCTTGCACTCTTCCCAGTGGGCACGGCAACGTCCATATGACGTCGAAAAGACGTCTTTTTAGGACGTCCAGAACTAGTTCTAATTGGCAACGCCAGATGACGTCTTTTTAGGACTTAATTAGGACGTCTTTTTAGGACGGAATAAAGACGTGTTTTTCAGACGTCTAAAAGATGTGAATTTAGGATGTTCAGAACAAGTGCTAAATGGACACGCCAAATTATGTTTTTAAATAACCTAATTTAGCCGTCATCAGTTCGACGTCTATAATCTTTGTCTTTACATGGCTTTACTCAAACGTAAGATTAAAACTTATGTTTTCACTTAACTTTTTGAGAATAAGTAAAAAATAAAAATTTGCGTAAATTTTTAATAATATATGTTTGCCATGTTTTATTAATTATAAGTTTTTTTAAACTTCTTCCTCCACTTGTTAATTTTCAAAAATCGACTGTTTGAACACTTGACGTCATTCACCTTCTTTTAGATCAGGTGTGGGCTTTAGATTATAGGCAACAGCATTTTAAAGTTCTTTTTTGCCGTAGGAATCAGGTAAACAGTCTTAAACCTAAAAAAAATTGTAAAGTATGTAAAAATAAAGGAGAAAGGAATAAAGAGAACATTTATAATACACTTTATGACGTAATATATATATATATATATATATATATATATATATATATATATATTGATTAAAAAATAAAAATATGCTATTATATTATATTATATATATATATATATATACACACACACACACACACACACATATATATATATATATATATACATATAATATATATACATATATATATAATATATATACATATATATATATATATATATATATATACATATATATATATATACATATATATATATATATATATACATATATATATATATATATATATATATATATATATATATATATATATATATATATATATATATATATATATATATATATATATATATATATATATATATATATATATATATATATATATATATATATAATATATATATATATATATATATATATATATATATATATATATATATATATCAATATATCAAAATATCTTAAAATTTTATTCACGTTGTCCTTCGAAAGGGAAATCTTAAATGATCTTTTTTTCTTGCTGAACTGACGAGGTAGCTATTTTGAGTATTGTAAAGTATTAAACAAATAAGTTTAAAAAGAAAAAAAACCTATATAATTAAAATAACTTTAAAGATAATTATTACAAGAAAAAACATATTACTTACATTAAACTTAAAGATTTATCATTGACTTTATCATAATTTTGAATCACAGACTATCCAATTCGAAGGATCTGAATGAATTAAAGAAGTTGTTACTTATAAAAATTCATTAAGCATATTACATAAAATAAACTATTTATACTATACCATACTTATATATACTATATATATATATATATATATATATATATAATATATATATATATATATATATATATATATATATATATATATATATATATATATATATATATATATATATATTTATATATATACTCATATAAACTATATACTTGACAACTCCCTTGGAATATTGTATAAAATTCAACTCAAAAGTAAAGAGTTAATTACATAATAGAAGTTTTTGTGACCAATACATATATATTATATATTTTTATAAATAAATTTTTAATTAAAAAAACAAAAATTTATAGGAAAGTAAATTAGGAGAACAGTCAAATTTTATTTTTTTTAAAGATTATTTAAAGACTTTTAAGGATGTCTTTTTTTTTCCAAGGATATTCAAGGTTTTTAAGGAGGATTGGGAACCCTGAATCAAATAACAATAATCAAATAACTACATATTGAAACTTTATCAGCAAACATTGTTGTAGTAGATTTTCAGTGGACCTATAAAAGCATTCTGAGCAGTTAAATGGAGTTTAACTCATCCTTTACTTAGTAAATTACTAAAGTGGCCAGCCGATAACATTCCAACAAGTGATATAGTGGTTAATCCTGTTATCCACTTTTGGCTGCTGCCACTAATGGTCCATTAAGTATATGATGACCAAAACTGCAACCACCTACAAAGCCTATATAGCCTCGCCGAAATTCCTTTTTAAATGTTTGCTGTGTTATATATATTTTTTACTAAATGTTAAAACTAAAAACCATAAATAATCAAAAATTTATTCAAATAGAAAAAAATATCATCTCTTTTCCATCTTAAATACATTTTTCTCATTCTAATTTGAAGTTGGATAAATTACTAAAAAATAAATTTTATCAAATAATAAATATAAATAATAATTTTAATTATAATTATTTATCAAGTTCAGACTTTGTCACCTCACCTAAAGAAAAAGCTGAATTGTTTGCTAAGAACTTTTCATCAATATCATCTCTTGACTCCACTAGTTGCGTTCTACCTGATATAGCCGTCTGTTATCTCTATTTTCAAAAATTCTGGAGAGCGATCTGATTCGTCTAACTATTGTCCCATGAGTCTTCTTCCAATCATAAACAAGGTTTTTGAATCTTTAATTAACAAACACTTAATCTCTCATCTTGAGCCTCATAACCTACTTTCTGATCATAAATATGGATTTTGATCTTCTCGTTCTACTGCTGATTTGCTAACAGTAAAAACTGATAGGTTTTATCGTGCATTAGATAAAGGTGGAGAGATTAAGGCCATTGCTCTTGACATTTCTAAAGCATTTGATAAAGTTTGGCATGCTGGTCTTCTCCATAAGCTTTCTTCTTACGATGTATCTGGAAACATCTTTAAGATTATTGAATCCTTTCTTTCCAATCGTAGTATAAAAGTTGTGCTTGATGGACAACACTCTTTTTCTTATTCAGTATCCTCAAGGGTTCCTCAAGGTTCAATCCTTAACCCTATACTCTTTTTAATTTACATTAACGATCTTCCAGATATTCTCACATCTAAGGTGGCATTGTTTGCTGATGATACCATTTATTCTTGTTACGATAAGAAGCCAACTCCCTCTGATTACTTGCAGGGGGCATTTGAGCTTGAAAAGGATCTCACTTCTGCTACAGCATGGGGCTCACAGTGGCTGGTGAACTTTAATTCAAATAAAACTCAATTTTTTTCAGCCAATCATTATCTCAATAATTTAGACCTTCCTTTATTTTTATATGAGTTATCTACCCTATTTTATATGAGTTATCTACCCTTCATCTTCTAGGATTAACTCTCACTTCTGATCTTTCTTGGAAACCTTATATCAAATTCGTTGCAAAATTAGCATCTGCTAAAGTTGCATCTCTTTATCGAGCTAGACACTTTCTTACTCTGGATTCTATTCTCTATCTCTATAAATCTCAAATCCGACCTTGTATGGAATACTGTTGCCATATCTTATGCGGATCTTCTAATGATGCCTTCTCTCTTTTAGACAAGGTGCAAAAACGCATTGTAAACATAGTTGGACCTGCTCTTGCAGCCAACCTTCAACCTCTGTCACATCGTCGTAATGTTTCTTCTCTTTCTCTTTTCTACAAATACTATAATGGTCACTGCTCTAAAGAGCTAGCGTCTCTTGTGCCATCTACTAAAATTCATTCTTATGTTACTTGTCATTCAATTAAGTTTCATCCTTTTTCTGTTACTGTTCCTAAGTGCTCCAAAAACTGTTATTCGTCTAGTTTTTTCCCTCGAACATCAGTTCTTTGGAATTCGATTCCTTCATCTTGCTTTCCTGATTCATATAACTCGTAATCTTTTAAGTCGTCTGTCAATCGTTATCTTGCGAAGATATTATAAAAAAATATATACATATATTTATTTTGAATTTTTAAAGAACGAAAAATAAAATAGCGAAATTAATTACATCTATCTTCAAAGGATTATTTAAAACAGATTTTGGAATGTCTGCTACAACTAATGCCTTTATTCTTTTGTGTGATTTTTTTTGTGTGGAAAAGATTCAAATGAGTTTAATTTAAAAAAATAAACCAGTCATAACAGTTGATTTATATAAGAGAGGTGTGTAAAAAATTTATTTATTAAACACAATTATTTCTCCATAAGTTTCACGAACAGAACACTTTTCACAAAAGTTGTAACCATTATAAGATTTTATATAGTTTTAATTTATATTTTTTATTGTATATAAAACCATTTTGTATTATTGACTTGACTCAAAGAAAAAAATAGGTATTTAGTTAGTGAATTAGGCTTGGTTTTACTACAATAAATGCCAACTATAAAAATATTAAAATAATCAAAGCAAGCTAATATTGGCCATAGCTGTTTACTAGAGAATTAAAATAAAGGTAAACCATTATAAAATTCAAAAAAAATATGATTTTAATACTTGCCTGTATTTCAAAATAAGAGTAATTATTACCACACTTTTTAGGAACAGTGAATAACTGTTAATCTCGAAGATGCAGTGAAAGTTAGATGTTTTCAAAAATTTTTCTTGCATCTTCGCGAAGTTTCAAACCTTGGATTTTTAATATTTCAAAAAATTCATTAACTAATATACTGGTCTGATTATTTTTAATAGCACAATCTAAAAGTTGTTAAATAAAGATATTGAATTCTAGTAAATTATCAGGATAAACTCTTTGTATCATTAATAGGTTTTCCTTTTGAAAAAAATGATTCTGCATATATATATATATATATATATATATATATATATATATATATATATATATATATATATATATATATATATATATATATATATATATATATATATATATATATATATATATACATATATATATATATATATATATATATATATATATATATATATATATATATATATATATATATAATGTGTGTGTGTGTGTGTGTGTATATATATATATAAATTAGCAAAAACCTGTCTATTAGTCACTCTTCATTCATTATTTCAAAATGCCACAAAAAAATGTAAGTTTACATTTGAAAGTTCTTTTACGCTTGAAAGTTTCTTCTACATTTGTATTAAAAATGCGTTTTTAATTAACAAAAATAAATAAATGTCTTGAAGATTGCGTGATTTAATTGATTTAATAAAGCATTCTGGATCTTTTTTGGACGAAAAATTAATGGACGTGAAAAAGACGTTTAAAAGACGTTTAGAATTTAAATGGGACGGACGGACGCTAATTGAACGTCTAAAGGACGTCTTTTTTACGTCCTGTGCCCACTGGGTTGTTAGGAATGAATCAGAATTAAAAAAAAAAATCAAATCATTCATTAGTTGAATAATGATTTCTAATTATTAAAATCAGCCTTGTTGGGAATGAATCAGAACTAAAAAAAAAAATAATTAAAATTATTCATTAATTGAATAACGATTTCTAATTATTAAATCAGTTATTTAAAGAACAAAAAAAAAAAAACAGAGCTAAAAAAACATACGTAAAAAGCCAAAACAAAGTATGTCTAAAACCAGTAATAAATAATAACAAAAAATAAAAAAAGATGCAGGAACCATAATTTTAAAACCTTATCCTTATATATTATATTGAGACTTAATTGTTTGTCTAAAGACAAAATTAATGTCTTGGCTAAGTCTGAACTAATTGAATTAGTTTTTGGCAGTGTTCATGTACTTTGATTAGCAACACTGCGAAATCTTAATTTATTTAATTATTTAAAAGTAACTTTGAAATTTAAATAAATTTTTAACTCGTGTAATTTTTATACGCAAGACTAAGTTTCAAGAAAATTCAAGAAAAAGAATTCTTAAGAAAGATGCATAAGGGATCGTCCATAAATTACGCAACGCAAAAAATATTTTAAGAACAAGAGTAGGAGATATTAGGCTCTTTAACGCGGCGATTTTCATTTAACTTAATTTCCTATTTTGATTGTTTATTTAAATTAAGACTCTGCGAGGGAAAACTTTTGATCTTTTTTTGTTTTGTTTTTTGTGAAACTTTGCGTTACGTAATTTATGGACGATCTCTAAGTAAGATTATTTGTTTATTAGGAATTTGATTTCACAGCTTCATTTAAAAATTAATTCTTACTTGGTTTGCTATTTTTTAGTTATAATTAAACTTATAAACTCTAATGAACTTGATCTTTAAGAAATTGTCTCGAAGAAGGTTAAAATGTATAATCAGATTCACGAATTTCATTACTTAAATTTATATACAAAAAATAGATTTTTATTGAAATTTAGTTGTAGTTATTTTTGTAGTTAGAGCAAAAATCTAAGCTTAACCTAGATTAATCTTTAGCAACAAAATAATAAAACAAAAAGTTTGTAGTAATAACAAAATAGCAAGAAAAATAGTTATAACAATCCAGAGCAACGAACCTTGCAAATCTTATTAAGGTCTGTAAGATTGTTCTTATCTTACATAAATTAGTACGAACTTATTAGAATCTTAATAAGTTTTGTCAGAAATATTTCTTTGAATAACTTGTTTAGATTTTATTAAGATCTTATTAAGATTCTGTTGAGAAATAAATGAGAAAAAAAACTACAAATCTTATAAAGATTTTAAAAAATCTTGCTAAGTTTTTATTCATTAAGTTGCTCTGTCGTCAAACGAAAACAATTGCATCGGTAGTAATGTTAAATAAGGTGATAACATTGCAAAAATAAGAGAAAATCCTTAAAGAATTTTTGAAAATTAAGAATGTTATATGGTGGCCCATCGTTGCCATTAAAAAAAAAAAAAAATCCGAGAAAAATCTTCGTGGCCCATCGTTTTATTGCGCATGAGTTCTTCTCAAAACAATAATGGGGTCAAAAAAAGCAAAATTTAAAAAGCTATTAGCTGAAATTAGTGAAAAAAAGAAGAAAAGTAAGTTCTAAAAATAAAAATAAAATAAAATAAAAGAAAATCTTACTGTGCAGCGTTTATCAGAACAAAATTGATTTGCAATAGGCTGTTGTTCAGGTTATGCGAGAAAGTGGCGAGGTTAGCTGTACGAGAACTAGAAAGATTGTATCACGTAAACATGTGGTTATAAAAGTGTTAAGAAAGATTATATCACGTGTATTATCGTATTAAGAAGTGGTTATTAAAGCATTAATAAAGGTTGTATCAGGTAAAGAAGTGATTATAAAAAGACTTAAGAGATGACACAAAGAAGTGAATTGATAATAAAAATGCTAAAAACCTGTTGTATTTGAAATTGTTCAAACAACAACATAATGTAAAAATTTATCTTAATCACTTCTTTACTTTTTTCGACTTAAAATTTGAATTCTATACAACTTTTTTGCGTAAACTAACTGTCAAACTGTTCATAATAAGGTATAGATAACTTTTATACGAAATTTACGTCGTTTATTTTTTATTATTGCTAAATTTCAACATGGTTATAAACGTATATACAATATAAACGTAAAATGATATCACAAATTATCCATTCAACAATATTTTACTAAAATTTACTAAATCATTTTACTAAAAAAGTTACTTATTAATTAACATAATTTATTCCTTAGTGAAGCTTAATTAACAATAATTTATTCCTTACTGAATCTTAATGAAAATAAAAAGTAGCGTAAAAAATGTTTACATTATTATTAAAACTTAAATGAAAAAAAAAATTTAAACGATTTTTATATAGGTTTTTAAAAAAAAAAAAAGCTCTCAACTGAGTCCCATTCTATGTGACCTAAATAAGTACTAGAAAAAATTTGACGGTTTTATTTTGACAGGAAGTGCTAGATTTAAAATCTGAGTTTTGCTTTTTTTATGTTAAGCTGGCTTAACATAAATAGAAAACACAATTTTTTTACATTTTAGAAAATTAAAACAAAACAATTAAATGCGTATAAATCGTTTCCAATTGTTTTTTACTATTTAACTTGATAGATTATATTTATAATTATGAAAACTAATATTTATTAGCAAATTTAAGATTTTATTGCGGTGAAACATTTCTCAAAAAATACAACTTATTGAACAGCTCCCAAGCTCTTTTTTAGTCATACTCTTAGTCAAGTTTTTTCTAAACTTTTTAACTACAAAAAGGACATTTTGAAGGTGATCTTCATTTCTAGTAACTGAAAAAAAATCTTTTATGAGCTTAATGTTTCTTTCTGCACCATCATTTACAACAGATATGTTTTTGATCCATGCAATAAAACCTAGCAACTGAGATAGTTAAAAACATCTATATTATTAAGACTATTATTGAGCCATTCTTTTATACTTGCTCTTGATACTTTAAAATGTTTGAAGAGAAGGTAGCTTTGCTCGGAAATCAACTCAGGTAGCTCTGTGGTCTCTCCAATTTGTATATTTGATTGTTTACAACGCTGAAATTAATTTGGCTCTTTAACCTCAAACAGAGCTAACAGCATTCTTAGCTTTGTTCAGAAGGAACTTCTTTATCCCCAAAGGACAAAACACAGAGTTGCGGAGTTAAGTACCACGTATGGCGTCCCATGCTGAGAAGCCAAGCATTTTCAATATTTTAATTGACTTTTCCCAATGCATAGGCTGTCTGGATAGCTTTCAAATTATTGTAGGGAGCTCGAAATCCTAAAAAACTTTTCAAAAACCATGGAACATTGCAAATTGCAATGAACAAACTTGCATCCTTCAACTGTAACACTTCTTTTTCTGTCAAGATATTACTGATGTAGATCGCATCTGCTAAAAATCTTGCCTCATGGCAGGCGCCAGGTTGATAGAACCTAAAATCTTATATTTCCGCTCCAAAGAAGAAGGAGGCAAGCTTACAAACTATGCCATAATTATTTCTTGAAAATACTATATCAACAGTTGTATTAGTCAAAAATTTCTTAGCTTCCTCTACAACAGTGCGAAGAACAGAGCCAATCTTCAAACCATTTCTTTATATCAGTCCAATTTACATAAATTTTTCACTTAAATAACTTTTTCACAGATTTCAGGCCACTTGTTCTTTAGCTTGATATAATGAGCTCTTCTTGGACCTTTGCTTTACCTCACCAGTAAGAGCAGCCATATAGTGAGATACATGTACTTCATATATGTGTCTCCTACACATTATCCACAAAATTGGTATTTTCAAAATATCTGTAAGAATTTGGACTGCTCCATTGACTCCGCCTGTATTGCTTGCAGTTGTATCACAGCAAATGATCTGCTCTTTACATCCGTGATATTCTAAAAAATTGTGCACTTGTTCTGCTTGGTCAACTCCCTTTAAAGAGGGACATTGAACAACACCTAAAAGATGGTCTTCCATGGTATTGTCATCCGGGGAACTCACTGAGACTGCAAGTTGCTCAATTTTTTGAATAACGTTAAGCTCAGTGGTAATTTGGTCAAATTTTTTGGTATCAAAATGAAGAATAAGCCGTCGGCCTTTAAGATGATTAGTTATTCAAATCCACCCTAAGTCTCCTTTAAATTCTCCATATTTGAACTTTTTTCTATGAAATCTGCTTCGTGAAAGGGGTATATCATTAATTTCTATACCTCCAGCTTTAAATACTTCACTTAAAATTGCCAGATGAGGTAGTACACCAATATTGAACCTTGTTGCTGGAATAGCAGTACATTCAATAAGCTTTTCAAAGTTCACTGCTAGATTTATCCTTTCTCTAGAATTGTACCTAGATATAATTTATAATACTTTTCTACCTATTTATAATTATATACTTTTCAATAAAACAGTTTTAACTTGTGAAAATTACAACTATGTTATTAAAATAATACTATACCTGCCTTTCCGACCGTTAACCAGGAAATCTCCTTTCTCGCTGATTTCAGAGTCCTCGTTTGGTTTTTCTTCTTCACTGCTGAATTGAATCTCTTCTGTCATGGAGTCATGTGACAACAAAACATTATTGGTATCTTTTACGTTTTTTTGTCTCTCTAATTCAACTTATCTAGCTTGTTCTTTCTCCTGTTTGCATCCAGTACTCTCCTACTATAGTCTTCGTCAACGTTTGCTCCCATATATTCTTTCCAATCTAACTTTTGGTTTTCATAAAAACTAAGAAATACTTAATTCTATTAAGACATTTATGAATAAATTAATAACTGTTCTAGTTTTTCCTGGAAGATGGCCAAACCATGGAAGGAGTTAAACATAAATGTTTTAAAGGAAATAATGTGCTATTTCTTAAGTTACTTTAAATCGGAAAAAAAATTTCACTACTAAAAAAGTGTTATTTAATGAACTTACTTTATATCTTCCAGCTTTGCATCATCTTTTCTCAATCTATCAGCAAGAATATCTTTTTTAAAATTCTTAGTAAAGATGTCAAAAAGCTGATAGGATTCTCTGAGAAAATCTTTCTCTAACTTTGATTGCTTATCAAGGCTGCTGTTCCAGTTTAGAGAAGACAATTTAATCAATTTCTTGTATTTTATATTAAGTTTAATGATTTTAGTCTTTATATTGTACCCAGAAATCACAAATTTCTTCTCAAACCAAGCATTTTTTAATCCTAACTACCAAGCAAGAGTTATCAGGATCTGTACAAACACCATTTTCACAAACGAGATCTTTGGATTTCGATTTCAATTTGCAACCAACATTAGTAGAAGTGGGTTTGTATTTTACTTGTGACTCGCGAAGGATATATTGATAATATCCCCTTTAGATGGAAGCTGTCTCTGAGGTAAATCCCTCCGCGGGTACTCCAATAGGTAAATTTACCTCAACTTTTCTGTATTTTTACGTTTTTTCCTAAACTGTCCTATCATCTTTTTTTTTTAGCTGTTCTACCCATTTTTATATGAGTTTCGAAATAGTCAGTTTTTTAACTAAGTTTATACTAAATTTTACACTTGCATTAAAAATCTATGAAGTCGTTATTTCCTCTCGTATCATATTTTACCTAAGTTTACCGTTAAGGCTTTTATAACCGTTTACACAAGAATTTGTTCGTGCACAAATTAGAATTCCTTCGTGCACAAATAATTCCATTTAGAATTTTTTTCCTTCAAAAAAAATTTCTAAATGGAGTTATTTGTGAACTAATCCATGAGGAATTATACCGACTAATAATATTGTCCAGAGAGAATTATATCAATCGCTAACAATGTTCATAGGGAATCATCCTATTCTTTAACAATGTCCTATGGGAGTTATTTGTGTACCAATTATTACATCATATTAAAACCTATTGAAATAATAGATAGCACTGTTTTTATGTAAATACACATGCGTACAATACCGTAAAACTTAGAATTTACATCTATCACTTCTAGTCATTAAATAATAATAAAAAAAGATTTTGGTAACTATTTAGGACCTATAGAATGGGGATCAGCGGAGAGCACATTGAAATTTTATAAAAAATATGTTTTCGGGACACCCTAATATATATATATATATATATATATATATATATATATATATATATATATATATATATATATATATATATATATATATATATATATATATATATATGTATATATATATATATATATTAGGGTGTTTATTGTAAATTGTATATGTAAATTGTAACCAACAATAATCAACATGTATGTATATATATATATATATATATATATATATATATATATATATATATATATATATATATATATATATATATATATATATATATATCATATATATATATATATATATATATATATATATATATATATATATATATATATATATATATATATATATATATATATATATATATATATATATATATATATATATATATATATATATATATATACATACATGTTGATCAATTTTGGTTACAAATTGTCATAAAACAACATTAATTTTGCATAAAATATCTCGTTGCAAAAAATTCAAAGTTTAACTAAGTCGATCCAAAAATAAATTATTCTGGTGAAAATGCTAAAGAAAGATACCCCAAACAATATTGTGTAGTAGTAGAAAAATTAATTAAGCCATTGTAAAATACTTCGTTGACACAGCTGTAAACAAAATCAATCAGATGGAACTTAACTTAAACTTCAAAATCAGATGGAACTTAACTTAAACTTCAAAATCAGATGGAACTAAACTTAAAATGGAAATATTTAAACAATTGAACTGTGCGCAGTTTTTTATTGTATAGTTTTATCACTTACTGAGCACAATGTAATCTAAGTTGACTTGTATTTGTATTTTTAAATAATTTTTAAATAACAGAAAAAAAAATTCAGTCTATCTAATTTTTATGAGTATTATTCAATCTACTCTGTAATGCTTTATTTTTTTATAACTTTCAATTAGTGTTGCAGTATGGATGTCTTCCATAAAGAATTTGTTGTATAATATATTATATGTATTACATATACTGTTAATATTAAGAGCACTGTTATATTAAGTTAAGAGCACTGTTATATTTTTAATTATAAATTTTTTTCGAGAACAAATTAATTAAAGTACTAAACTGTTTTAGTTTATGCTAATAAATAACTAACTTTAAGTTAAGTTATATGCTAATAAATAACTTTAAATAAAGTTATATGCTAATAAATAACTAACTTTAAGTTGTTAGCATATGCTAATAAATAAAACAATTAAGTACTTCATATAATTTCTTCTCGAAAATTTTTTTTCGCTTATTAAATAATAGTGTTCATCTCAACATTATATGTTATGCATATAATATATAACACAGCAAATTACTTATGCAAGACTGTTCCATACGATCATAAATGACCATACGTTCAAATGATCTTATAAAATCATTTTGTAGTTATTTCAACCCGACAAATTTCCACTCATATTTTCGCAATAGAATATTCTACCTCGCAAAAAATATTAGTGGAATTTAGTAGGGTTGGAATAACTACAAAATAATCTTATAAGATTTTATAAATCTTACAAAGAAATTATGATATAATTTACAAATCTTATTAAGATCTTACATTTCCTACTAATCTTACTAAGAAATCGTACTTAAACTTACAAATCTTAATAAGATCTTATTAGTTTTCTAGCACTTCTTGCAAGCCTTACTAATCTTACTAAGGTTCTTAATAAGAAATCTTGTAAGATTCGTCGCTCAAGTTATAGTTATTGTTATTGCTATTTAATATAAAAATAGTAGTAAACAACAACAACAACAACAACAACAACAACAACAACAACAACAACAACAACAACAACAACAACAACAACAACAACAATAATAGCAACAATAACTATAATAGTAATACTGATAATAGACGCAATAATGACTGCAATAAAAACTTTTTTGTATAGCTTAAGTAACATCAAACCATTCTCCATTTTTACAAATTTTATTAGGTGATAACTCTTTATAAAGTTGACTCAAAATAACCTCAGGAGATTTAGGGCACCAGGTCTCCTCTCCCATAAACATACATTTTGTCAAAGGAAATACATCCGCTGCTTTGTAAGTTTTTTCCCATTCAGAGGGATCATAAACTAAACCATTTCTAATACTGTAGTCATAGATATCCAAGTGAAAGTCACCTTTAATTAACCTGCCTAGAGGTTCTTGAAAAGAGCAGTGATCTGAATAGACTTTAACTTGCTCACCGTTGCACTTAAACCTACGCCTCTCGCTGTAAGGTTTCCTCCAGTCACTTTGTAAGATCAAATGAAATTTATTATCACTTTCATGAAAATTTCTTTTATCTTTAATGCTTTCTAATACAATATTTGATGTGTTAGATATAAGTATGTCCAAATCTCGGTCATATGGAATAAGATCTTGATTGCGCCATGATCCAAGTAATGATCCGCATGTTAAAAAATATGTAATATTATAATTTTTTGCCAATTTTATCCACTTTTGAAAAATTGTTAATAAATGATGACGTTCATCGTATTGTTCTTTACAAGAATTATCACCATAGATTGAGGAAAATGTTTTAGCAGTTGAATAAAAAGCTTCGTGGTTCTGCGAATCAAAGTTACCGCGTTTTTTATAAATATTAAAATAACGATTTGCTACAGAAATATCTTTAGTATAAAAAAGTATAATACAAACGACTATTAACGCAAATACGAAAAAATAATGCCGCTTTAACATTTCAAATGAGCAACAAAAACATGCGTTAAACGAGACTAAAATCCAGCAAATAAAATAATTTTATTTCCACATTGAGCACAGACTTTAGCCCGTATGCATGATTTCAAGCACTGTTTGTTTATTATAAGGTTTTAAAAGCAAACGTATTTAATTAAAAACTAAAGATAACATATTAAACAAACTTTTGATTGTTTTGAGAACGTTAATGTACATAGAAAACAATAAAATGAAGAATGCATTCACATTATAACTTACAACGTGAATTTATTCTTTGTGTTAACATCGAAAGTTTTAACATATTTACAAAAAAAAAGTATTCTCAGCGCGTTATACAATAAGTCTTAGTTGCACATTGATTTTTGTTTCGTGTACGATAAACTCATTGATCAAAATATTTAGAAATCGGATTTTGCAGGTCTATTAGTTTTGCAGGTCTAATTAGTTTACATGTCTAATAGTTTAAAGTTTTTCGATTTCGACGTATACACGTGAGTTTGCGTTTTTATTTTTTCGCTTTTTAATGCGTTTCTTGAAATTATTTAAAATTTTAATAAGATTATATTAACTAATATAGATTATACATTGAAAAGCTTTGAAATAACAAAAAATAGATCATCTTGAGAGAGTGTCGGCGGTGTTGAGGGTTGCCGAGAGCTTTCACGAAAACCGGCGCATGGCAGTAACTAGGGGCCGCTATTAGCAAGCACATTTAAAAAAAGACTTTAAATTAGAAGCATTTGCAATCATTCATGTTAATGGCTGTATGTTGTAATGTTTGTTATTTATGTTACAATCATTTTACACCCATATTTTCATTAACCGCATATAGATTAAGTATCACTTATGCAACATATTAACAAACATTGAATAGGATTATTAGACAAGTTCTTTGAAATTAATAATTTTTTCTAAAAAAAAAAAAAATTGCTTAAGTGAATGCACGCTTTTTCGCTGCGCATCGAAAATAAAATAATGGTTCAGTCACTAACTGTATGGAAACGAATCTTATACAAAAGCATTACGTGAAAAATCAAAATCAAAGGGCAAGCAGGCAAAATACACATATTTCCTACGACAAACTTATTGTTCAAGATTTTAAAAAAGTAAAATTTTTTTTTATACAGTAAGCGGTTTTGAAACTTTTATTTCAATACTACCATTTTTGATAAAAATGTTTTTTTCATTGCACGAAAAAATTAACGAATTCATGAATTCGTTAATTTTTTTTTAACATGATATTAACGAATTAACATGATATTAACGAAGAATGTTTTTATTACTATCCATATGCATGGCCGTAGAGAGGGAGGGGGGGGGTCAGGGGTATATTGTCCTGGGGCCCGGCTCTGTTCAAGGGCCCGGACTTGTGAATTATAAAGTATTATATATGCGACCAGGGCAAAAATGAAATAAATGCACTTTTTTACAATAAAATTAAGAAATTATTACTTTTTATGTTAAAATAGGTTTCTTTTTTTTTTTGCTCCTCAATTTTTTGGGCCTCTTAAAGTCTTCGCGACAGGGGCCATTTCCGCTTTGGTCTCCCCTCACTACGCTAATGTTTAGGAGTGTTTGTTGCACATATTGCTTTATAATACATACCATCGATATATCAATGACATATCTTTAATAAGGTATATTATATCATATAGAGAGTTTTTTATTTACCGGAATGATAATTAATGCCAATTTATATAAATTCTTATTTAGTAGTCAAATAAAAAATAAACTACCATCACAAATCTGGATCTCAAAAAAGGAAAGAAAAATTGTCGAGATTGAAAAATGTAAATGAAAAACAAACTCTACTTCAAAGTTATGGATTTTCAGTGTCTTCGAAAGAGAAGACACTGAAAATTTAGAAAATGAATATCATAATGTAGAAATTAATTTTAACAATAACGACAACGTTGTTGAACAAGCTGCAGATTTAATTAATGTGACTGCCGACTTTCCAGATCCTGATAACATAGAAAATAAAGATGACGTGGAGCCCGGCAATCTTTTAGTTCCTATCAACAATATCTCTAAGAATTATAAATCAAGTATAACTGATAATAAAATTAATAAAGCAAAACTGCTTGAATTTGATGTTGCAAGTCTAAAAAATGAAATACCAAATACTTCTGAAATTGAGGAAGCAGTTCGTAGGGGTCCAGAAAAAATCCCATCTCAATTTCCAAAAGATGTGAACGGACATTCATTTCCTGTTTGTATACTACATACAAGTATGAAAAATGGAGAATATGTTCCCCGTGATTGGCTTGTTTGGAGCAAAGTTAAGCAATCGATATTTTGTTTTCCTTGTCGCCTTTTTAGCAAACTACCAACAGCAAGTCGCTCACGTTTAACAACTATATCTGGGTATTGTTTTCAAAGAAAATGGAAAAATTGCATGACAAAATTCCAGAGCATCAAAGCAGCAACAACCATAAATATTGTTATATTAAATGGCGGCTATTGGAAAAAAGTATTGACTCTAATTCCACTGTCGATATTATGCTGCTGCAGACCATTAAGAATCAAGCATCACAGTGGAAACAGGTTTTTCGCCGAATTTTAGATGTCACATTGTTTCTAGCCGAACGAGGTTTGGGATTTAGAGGAATAAGTGATTTAGTTGGAGTTGCAGCAAATGACAATTTTTTGGGCATTTTAGAGCTCTTGAGCCATTATGATTCTGTCTTGAAAGACTATCTGAACAAAGTGATGAAGTCGCAGAAATTGAAGAGAAGACAACAAGCAATTACCTTTCACCGGAAATACAAAATGAGTTTAAAGAGTGTTGTGCCAAAAAAGTATTAGACGTTATTCTAAGTGAACGAGAAGCAGCAAAATAATACTCAATACTTGTTGATGCAACCCCTGATTCAGCACCTATGGAACAAACTTTATTTATATTGCGTTATGTTTATTTAAATGAAGAAAATAATCTCTACGAAGTTCAAGAGCGATTTCTAGAGTTTGTTGACTGCAATCAGAAAACGGGGAAAGCTATTGCTGAATTAATTTGCAGTGTTATTAAAAAACACAATATACCAATGATAGACTGTCGTGGTCAAGGTTATGACAACGGTAGCAACATGAGCGGTCAATATAAAGGAGCACAAGCAGAGATAATTAAAGAGAATCAATTGGCAATTTATTCTCCATGTGCTTGTCATAGCTTAAATCTATGTGGTGTCCATGCCGCAGAGTGCTGTGCAGAGGTTATAAACTTCTTCGGTGTTGTGCAAAAGACTTATAACTTGTTCAGCTCTAGCCCGCAAAGATGGCAAATTTTAAAAAAAAACATTGGATGCTCTTTACATAGCCAGGATTGAAAGTGTAAAATCTTTTGCAGAACATATTCCTGGTTTAAGGAGTGCTATCCAAGACTTAAAGAAGCTAAATCTCACTGCCGATTCTCGATCAGATATCAAAAGTATTGAGAAATACTTGGGTTTATTTGAGTGCATTATACTCGCAAGCACTTGGTTTAAAGTTCTAACAAGCATCAATTACAGAAACACAGTTTTGCAAGCCAGAGATGCAACTTTAGATGTGGAGGTTTTAAATTTAAAAAGCTTAATTGATGACCTCTTTTTATTGAGAAACAACTGGGATTCAATCTTAAATAAATGTAAACTTGTTGCCGAAAATCTGGGTATGGTTTCCAATGACATATTCCCCGAGAAAAAACGCAGCCGAAAAGCTAGATTTTCAGATGAGGAACAGAATAATAAATTAGGCAACACCAGTGCAGAATTTTGTTTCAAGCGCGATGTTTTTTATGTTCTTTTAGACTGTGTCATTGGTAATATGAATCGGCGTTTTGAGGCAGCCAAATATCTTGAGGAAACATTTGGTGTTGTATGGAAATACATGGCATTAGATAAAGATCTGCTGCGTGAGAAAGCTTCATCTATTTGCGTTAAATACAGCATTGATGTTTCTCTCGATTTAATAGACGAGTTAAAGCATTTAAAGGCAATTCACACATCAAATCTTGGCATATTACAATTATTGCCGTTTCAATTATTAAACAAACTCCATGAGTTGAAGCTTGGTTCTCTTTTCCCAAACATTTTAGTTGTTCTTATAATTTTTTGTACACTTCCAGTAACTAAGCAGAACGCTCTTTCAGCACGCTTGCAAGAGTTAAAAATGTTTTACGTTCTACCCCTCGTTTTACGTGACCCCTCGGCGTTGGGAAGATGAATAATGTAAAAAAAAAAAAAATTAAAGAAAATGCAACTTGTTAAAAAAATGAAAGGATTCGTTGACCAACCTAACTAATTAAAGACACATCTAGTCCTTGACTTTAAGATTGATTTTGATTTAAGTTAGACTAAAGACACGTCATAGACTTTAAGTTTGATGTTTTCAATATGGATATGAATATTAATGTAAAATAAAGGGGGCCCGCCAAAAAACTTACCCCGGGGCCTGGCTTGGCTCTCTACGGCCCTGATGATATGCATATATCTATAGACCTTTAAAATCATTTTTCTTTGCATTCTAGAAAATAAGAAAAGATTAAAAAAAAATTAAGTGTGAAAACGAAAGGATTTAAACCCAGGCGAAGTACTTCAACCACTTTGGCATACTATAATATTATCTTTTAACACTGTTTAATTAAATGCTCATCCGTGGTGCTCTGTAATAATCGTGATCTTAAGGACTTCTTGGGACATCTAAATAAAACTCAAAAAATAAAATAAAAAAAATAAACTAAAAACTTGTTGATTATAAATTTTTATCAACCATGCACTAAAATTGTCCAGCTTGTTTTTTCGAGTCCCAGCGAATTGAGCTAACTATAACACGCTCTTCGTCAACCCTGATTTAACGGCAGTCAAAAAGAACTTAGCATGGTAACTACGCACTGAATGCAAAAAACAAAACGCATTTCTACCTGCAATATCAACAACATTGTTCGTAATACGAGGCAACAAGATCAAAGAAACTATCAAAACCAGATGGCCACCAATCAACTAACGTCTCCAATTGACCACACCAATAAACAACCTCAACTGCAAACCATCTTTCAATACCCAGTACACTCCTGTACTGAGTATTGAAACTTCCCAACTCAAAAAATAATAAATGGCTGACGAACT